GGTGATGGGTTGCTCCCTTCCACCTCCCATCAACCCTCAGTTTGTTCTCAGTTTTTAAGAGTCTCTTATGCTTTGGCTCTCTCCCACTCTAACCTCTTTTTTTTTTTTTTTCCTTTCCCTTCTCCATGGGTTTCTGTTCAGTTTCTCAGGATCCACATAAGAGTGAAAACATATGGTATCTGTCTTTCTCTGTATGGCTTATTTCACTTAGCATCACACTCTCCAGTTCCATCCACGTTGCTACCAAGGGCCATATTTCATTCTTTCTCATTGCCACATAGTACTCCATTGTGTATATAAACCACAATTTCTTTATCCACTCATCAGTTGATGGACATTTAGGCTCTTTCCATAATTTGGCTATTGTTGAGAGTGCTGCTGTAAACATTGGGTTACAAGTGCCCCTATGCATCAGTACTCCTGTATCCCTTGGGTAAATTCTTAGCAGTGTTATTGCTGGGTCATAGGGTAGGTCTATTTTTAATTTTCTGAGGAACCTCCACACTGCTTTCCAGAGCGGCTGCACCAATTTGCATTCCCACCAACAGTGCAAGAGGGTTCCCGTTTCTCCACATCCTCGCCAGCATCTATAGTCTCCTGATTTGTTCATTTTGGCCACTCTGACTGGCGTGAGGTGATATCTGAGTGTGGTTTTGATTTGTATTTCCCTGATAAGGAGCGACGCTGAACATCTTTTCATGTGCCTGTTGGCCATCCGGATGTCTTCTTTAGAGAAGTGTCTATTCATGTTTTCTGCCCATTTCTTCACTGGGTTATTTGTTTTTTGGGTGTGGAGTTTGGTGAGCTCTTTACAGATTTTGGATACTAGCCCTTTGTCTGATATGTCATTTGCAAATATCTTTTCCCATTCCGTTGGTTGCCTTTTAGTTTTGTTGGTTGTTTGCTTTGCTGTGCAGATCTCATGGCTTTTTAAAATCTTAGTCTAATAATTCTAATATATCTGTCATTCTGTCATCTTGGTGTTAGCATCTACTGATTTTCTTTTTTAATTCGGTTTCCTTAGGTTCTTGGTATGATGGGTGATTTTCATGCAGTCTTGGACTTTTTGTATGTTATGAAACTCTGAACCTTAAATCATCTGTTTTAGCTGTTGTTGTTGTTTACACTGCTCCAATAGAGGAAGGGGAGGGGCATTGCCCCATTATTGCCAAGTGGAGATAGAAGCATATCTCCACTCAGCCTCTATTGATACTTGAGGGGGACAGCTCCTCATTACTCTTGAGAAGGGGTGGGGGTTCTGGTTCCTTACTTCTTTTCCACTGATACCACAGTGGGTGTAGTCTCATTACAAAGACGAGATGGTGAGTCTCGACCCTACACTAGGCCTCATACTACCACAGTGGGAAGTAAAATGGTTATTTGATACTTGTTAGATTGGGGCAGAAGTCTAGGCTCCCTGTGTGGTCTCCATTAAAAACCACATGGTGAGAGAGAGGTCATGGCTAGATAGCACAAAGGTCCTGGTTTCCTATTTCGTATGCTCTAAAACCACCAGCTGGAGCACCTAATTTCAGCTTTGTGAGAATCCAACTCTACGTCCCCTACCCAGCTTGGGTGTGAGTGGGTCCACATTTTTTTGTGTGTAGTTAGTGTTTGGCTGGAGCAGAGAAGTTACTGTCTAAAAGTTTTGTGTCTTGCTAGGCTGTGCTTTTCCTGGTCTTTTGATTAGAGAAAGCAGACTTCTGTTTTTTATTTGGTCTGCACTCATTCATTCATGTTTCTAGGCTGCTGGCTTCTTCAGCATGAAGTCTGGAATATATAAGGCAAAAAGAAAACCCAAGGAACTCACCACTGCGTCATACCTTATGTCTCAGGTTTCCTTCTTCTTTAAAAAAAATTTTTTTTTAACATTTATTTATTTTTGAGAGAACAAGAGCAGGAGAAGGGCAGAGAGAGAGGGAGACACAGAATCCAAAGCAGGATCCAGGCTCTGAGCTGTCAGCACAGAGCCCAATGCGAGGCTCGAAACCACGAACCATGAGATCATGACCTGAGCTGAAGTCAGATGCTTAACTGACTGAACCACCTAGACGCCCCTCAAGTTTCCTTCTTCTCTCTTCATTGCAGAGTCTCTTATGTTTGTTTTACATATGAAGTCCAGGGTTTGCACCTGTCCTTGGTGAGAGGAATAGGGGAAAGTATATATACTCCACAGGTTCTGTTTTAAATCCTTACTGATTGCTAATGACTGCACTTGAAAGCATAAATTTATCTTAAGTATTACTTTAGCTATGTCCCACAAGTTTTTGATATTTTGTGTTTTACTGTTGATTGACTCTAAATGCTTTACAATTTTTCTTATGATTTCTCCTTTGTCCCATGAATTATACTTAACTACATCTTAAAATTTCCAAATGGATTCTTTTTTTCTGTTTTTGTTATAGATTTCTAATTTTGTTGACTGTTGTATTTTACCCAGAAAACAGTCTGTATGCCATTGATTCTTTGGTATATGGTAGGACTTGCTTTATTGCCCACTGTTTGGCCAGTTTTTATTGTATAAATGTTCCTTGTGTTTTTTTTTTTTTTTTTCAACGTTTATTTATTTTTGGGACAGAGAGAGACAGAGCATGAACGGGGGAGGGGCAGAGAGAGAGGGAGACACAGAATCGGAAACAGGCTCCAGGCTCTGACCCATCAGCCCAGAGCCTGACGCGGGGCTCGAACTCACAGACCGCGAGATCGTGACCTGGCTGAAGTCGGACGCTTAACCGACTGCGCCACCCAGGCGCCCCTCCTTGTGTGTTTTAAGAAAACATGTTATTTAATGATTGGCATAATCCTATGATTACTACTTATTAGGAAAGACTTTTTTCATCTATCCAATGGCTAGACACATATGATGGGGAATGGACTTTTTTTTCTTTTTGAGAGTCTAGGCTGTGGTAAAGGGGGTAGTCTCAGTCTCAACTCCCAACTACCGCAGCCCAAGGTCTTTGTTTGTCTAAGAGCATTAAAACCCAAGTCCCTAGATTTTGCAGTACTGCCCTCTCCCCCAACACCACCACACACCAATAGCAGCTGTTCAAGAGTTCCAGGTTCAGTTCCTGCTTTGCTTCTAGAACAAAGGGCTTGCCCTTTCTTTCTCATGAGTTCAGTGACACATTTAAAACAATGTTCCAGGGGCGCCTGGGTGGCGCAGTCGGTTAAGCGTCCGACTTCAGCCAGGTCACGATCTCGCGGTCCGGGAGTTCGAGCCCCGCGTCAGGCTCTGGGCTGATGGCTCAGAGCCTGGAGCCTGTTTCCGATTCTGTGTCTCCCTCTCTCTCTGCCCCTCCCCCATTCATGCTCTGTCTCTCTCTATCCCAAAAATAAATAAACGTTGAAAAAAAAATTAAAAAAAAAAAAACAAAACAATGTTCCAGTTCTGCTTTTCCCATTTAACATGACAAGGAGGGAGGCAGTTAGGAGACTTGACACTCCTCTTATTTGAGGTTGGGATTAACAGAGAAGCACAGAGCAAAGAAGAAAGAAGTAGAAGAAAGTGGTCAGAGAGCGTGGATCAGATGGATGCCTCCATGGGTTAGGCAAAAGCTAGGAATCACTTTTCTGGAGCAATGCTTCCCAGGAGTCACCCGAGTCTTTTGTTCCTACATGCAGCTTCCTAGGCTCCTCTCCTGGCAATCATGAATTTAGTGTTCTAGGGTGGGACTGTGAAAACTATTTTCTTCCAGAGCCTCAGGTGACTCTTATGGGAAAAAAAAAAAAAAAAAAGGTTTAGAAAGCAACGTTCTAGAGTACTGTATGATTCCCAGGTCTTCCTTCCCTAGGTCTGAGATCTTGGAATCTGTGGTTTTGGCAGGAACCATAGGAGATGTTGCCATTAAAAAAATAACTAAACAAAAATTAAGAGTACAGGTTAAAAAAAAAAAAAAAAAAACCAAGGGGCACCTGGGTGGCTCAGTCGGTTAAGTGACCAACTTCGGCTCAGGTCATGATCTCACAGTTCATGGGTTCGAGTCCCACATCAGGCTCTGTGCTGACAGCTCAGAGCCTGGAGCCTGCTTTGGATCCTGTGTCTGCGTCTCTCTCTGCCCCTCCCCTGCTCGTGCTCTGTTTCTCTCTGTCTCTCAAAAAATAAATAAATGTTAAAAAAAAAATTAGAAAAAAAAAAGCCATAAGACTAGTATACAGACATAAGTACAAAGCAGTCAGAGATAATACTGTGTACTCAGAACCTGTAAAAATGTGGATACAGAAATCATATATTCATTAATTCATTCAACAAACACTTTTTGAGCCCAGTTATGTCCTTTTATGTCTAGGAGCTAGAAATTCTGAAATAAATAAGATACAAACCTGAATTTCAAAAAAAGTGTACAGAAGTACTGTATACAGAAGTACAGACAAGATTGCCAGGTAAAATACAAGATCCCCAATTATTTTTTTTTAAGTTTGTTTATTTGAGAGAGAGCTCATGCACAAGTGGAGGAGGGACAGAGAGAGAGGGAGAGAGAATCCCAATTAGGCTTCTTGCTGTCAGCATGAAGCCCAACATGGGGCTCAATATCACGAACCATGAGATCATGGCCTGTGCTGAAATCAAGGGTTGGACGCTTAACCCATTGAGCTGTCCAGGTGCCCCACAAGCTGCCCAATTAAATTTGAATTTCAGATAACCAATGGATAATTTTTTAATGTAAGTATGTCCCAAATTTTGTTTTTCAGGGTTTTTTTTTTTTCCCCCTAAATCTGTCAACCCTAAATATAGGAATATTTAGGAAAAGCTCTCAACCCAACTCCGGAGGCAAGGGCTGCAAAGTTCAGCCAAATGTCAAAAGGTCTTTGATACAAATTGATTAGAATTAGCAGGCCATGGAGATTGCTGCCAAAAGCAGCTAGGTTTCAAAGTATACCACATTATTCCTAGGTTAAGAAGATAAAGTGTGTTCATTTTCCCCCAAAACAACTACTAAATACCTCGGAATCTCCTTATAACATACTCACATAATTAACATTTTTAGTTCCACAGGACTTACAGAACACAGGTTTGTGGGCGAGGTCATCCAAAGTAATTCCTCCTTCAGGATTGAACTCAAAGCTGCTAGTGAAGTTGTATTTTGCAGTTCCTTCTGGAGAAACCGTAACTTTTGCAGAGTCTCCCAGAACCACTTGACTGAATTCTGCACGAATAAAAGTAACTGGAGTATCTCCTTTAAAACCTTTCTGTTGACAGAAGAATACACTTTACAATTTTACTCGAATAGAGAATTTTCCTATACATCTGGAAACTCATTTTGACTTGACCTAAATAGCATTTTCCGTGTTTTCCTAACAAACTATACCACATATACAAAAAGGTTAGGTAGGTAGAAAGTCATTTAAAAAGTCTAGTTGTAACTAACTGCAACATTCTATTTAAATGCCATTATGTTGGAGGTTTAAAAATAACTTTTCTTGTGTTTACATGATTATAAAAGTATATTGTGAAACATTTGAAAAAGTGAGAAAGCACATGGAAAACAAATCACCTGTAATTTCACTCTAATATGTAAACACTATTAACATTTTAGAATATATTTTTTAGTGCTTTCCAGTGAATATATATGCATGTATGTATGTAAATATATATACAAATATGTACACACATTTATACACACATCTTTTATACATCTTTTAAAACAAAGCAAAATATCATTCATTACATCCTGTTTTGCAATGAGCTTTTGACTTCATAATAGTGAATGAATATCTGCCATTTCATTATTTTGTAATTTTTATAGTTAACTCATATTGTAGTTTTTATTTAAATTCATCAAATGAAATTAATCACAAGAGAAACTCTGGAAGAATTCAGTTATTTTTCAGGAGAAAAGACCTGCGGTCTATGAAAACAAAAATCACTTCTTGTGTCACAGGTAAAATTTAGTATTCAAATTGCCAGGTATTTTACACACATAGTGATTTGACCTGCTGATTATATAGTCGAACAAAAAGGAAAACTGAGAAAGTAGTACCAGTGCAATGTTAAGTAAGACCAGCAGGTCAGGTGTTATAGGAGGGTGCAAAAGCATTTCTCCTGCTGCTGTTTCCAATACATCTTCCCCCAACCTGCAGGTAGATGTTTGACAGGGAAACCTGAACTCAAAGACAAATGTACTTTCTTTTTTTTTTTTTTTTTAATTTTAATTTTTTTTTCAACGTTTATTTATTTTTGGGACAGAGAGAGACAGAGCATGAACGGAGGAGGGGCAGAGTGAGAGGGAGACACAGAATCGGAAACAGGCTCCAGGCTCTGAGCCATCAGCCCAGAGCCTGACGCGGGGCTCGAACTCACAGACCGTGAGATCGTGACCTGGCTGAAGTCGGACGCTTAACCGACTGCGCCACCCAGGCGCCCTGACAAATGTACTTTCAAGAAGAATGAATAAACTAAGGCCTTCTCAGATTTCCAAAGATAACATTACCAAGTCATATCCATCTGTCACAGTGATCTGCACAGGTCTGCTTGTTGATGACACCTGCTCCATATCAGCACTTGGGCAAAGTCCCTCTGGTCTTCTCTGGTCTCTGTAAATATAATGAATCCACCTTTCCCCTCCAGTACCATAGCTGTAGAAGTAGCCATATTATATCATAACCAATACTAGGGGATAACCTAGGAAAATGCCATAGTCCCATCAATGTTTTGTGCCCTTTTCAACCTTTGCAGCTAGACAGGCAGTATTTTACAGAGTTGTTCACAAGGAGGATTACATCAGTTAGCACTAAAATGATCCTTATATGTGTAACTAACCCACAAGCACAAATCATCACAAGACATAGAGGGTAGGAGTGCCATCTCCCTTACTCCCCGCTGCCCCCCACATCTTCCATAGTGTTCTTTGGTAGACTTTTTTTTTTTTTTTTTTTTGATGTGCAAAGTTCCCCTCAATGGTTCCTTAATCTCTCACTTTTACAAAACTATACTTTGAGCACAGGAAGGAAACAGCCATATGGAATAATGGCTAGTCCATTAGCAAAAGTCCTGACATACGTCTTATTTAGTCAATGATATATTTAAATTATTTTACAACATTAAGGACACAATTTCAAAAATTAATTGGATATGTTTAAGAAAGATTTTCTGACTCAATTCAAAGCGGAACTTAAGGCAATTCAAATGTTTACTGAGGGCATACTATGCTGTGTCTAGGAGTGGTGGTACAAAAAAGGAGCTATCTAGTGTCCCCAGGCTATATAATTATTCCACCTCTTCTCAGCTACTCCCTCAACCTTTAGTCATCTAAAACAGGTCACTTGTTTAACACCATGTCTTCAGGCTCAATCACAGCCTAAGTGACCCTGACAATTTTCTTATCAAGTTCACATTTGAAAATGACCTTTTACATCAGTTTTCTTCTTTCCTTTTCAATAGTATCACGGGAATTAGACCTTCACTAGCCTGATCTTGGACAAAAGCCTAATTTCTCTGAGCCTCAGTTTCACCTTCTGTAAAATATATAATTTAACTTCTGATGTTTTGTTGTGAATATCCACTAAAACTGCTTAACCTATGAAGCACCGCACAAGTGGTATTATTAATACGCACTGCTTTTCCTGAATGCTCAAATACTCCCTTACATACAAGGAATCTCTCTCGTATTTACAGTCTCTGAGTGCCCGGCACTATGCCTTGTCTTAGCGGCGTATTTACTGAATAATGAATGCAAGAAATCTGGCTAGTTACAAGTGATAGTCAGGGCAGTCAGTGGGAGTCGGGGAGGGGCGCTCCTGTTGCCCCCAGCCGACCTGCACTTCTTGTCATATCGCTCCTAAGAAAATGTAAGGTAACAGTCAAATCAGAAAAGGTTTGATGAAGGAAACCATGTGAAGGGGTGTGGTCTGGGGACACAGGCTTAGCGCCCGCTTACTGCCGGAGACCTCGGCGCAGAGCCAGAAAGGGGTCTAAGTCTGGATTCAGGTGGGAGGTCCGGGGTTAGCGGTAGCTCCTGCGCCTAGCAGGGTCGGTGGCATTTAAGTCTGTACCCGAGTGCACTGCGTTGGGATGCGGTCCCAGCGTTTCACTCTGGCTGTAGCTGAAGAGAAGCTGTAACGGGGTGTGGTCGCAGGTCCACGAAGGAGAGATCGGGGGGCAGAGGGTTTCGGAGGAATTATAGCCGTCTTACCTGAGGCAGCCACAATTGCGTTACCCGCAACTATAGTAACTAACTACCTCTCGCGAGAACTTAGTTCTGGCATTCTTTACAAGTTTATCCCTAAGACTCGCGGTAATGGTTTCTGTGGGGGAAACAGCTGTCTGCGCCTGCGCTCCAGGAACTAGGCGCTTGAGTAGCAGTTTCTGTGGCCATGTTCGCGGTTGCAACTTTGCTTTAACTTAACTGCAACGTTTTCTAACTTTGGATTTTGTTTTCTCGACCTTTTCCTTTCAATATCCCTACATAAATAGTTGGAAAACCAAGAGGAAATTTACTTAAAGATAAAATAAAAGCCTTTATTACACGGCTTTGAAAACCGGTCATTTAAATCTTTCTCCATGAAAAATGCAGATGAGTTATTTTAAAAGTGAGCCTCTCACACACTGTTGGTGAGAGTGCAAAACAGTCCTACTTCTGGTGCTCAATACTTATACAATAAATAGACTAAGTATATAATACTAATCCAAAGTTTTAATACATTTGAAAACACCAAGAGTTTTGGAATAGTAAAATCGCAAAAACGTGGAAACGGCCCAAGTGCCCGTCAGTGGATGAGTGGATGACCAAATTGATTATATAGTCACAAAATAGCATATTACAAAGCAGTCTACATGAATTAACTGCAACTACACGTGGATGGGTTTTAGCAACATACATACTTTCAAATGTTGCAATATTAAGAGGCATTTTGAAGGGGCTCCCACTGGTTAAATTTGGGCGCCAAAATAAACAATGATAATAATTACAGTCCATTGAGTAAAATAGGGATACACAAGTTCACATGAATATAAATAAATGGAGAGAGCTCCTAACAGAATGCCAACCCAATAAGAAAGAGGAAATGATGGAAACAGAGAATTACCATTTGGCACACACTATATAAGTGGATGCTAAAGTTGGTGAGAGGAGATTTGATGAGAAGAGAATATTGGCATGATTTTGGAATACCAATCAATTACAAAGGGGAAATTGTGAAATGAAACCAACAATATCATGTGGTTGAGGTTAACATCACCAGGATTGGGAGGAGTCTACATTGCATGCCTCCTGATGAGACTCACTGGGAAAAAGAAAGCATCATTTTGTGCTATTCCTGCCATCAGAGAGACTCAGGTTTTAGGCCACCCTCTTGAAAGTACGTACTCTTTAAAACTGTCAAAGACATGAAAGACTGGGAACTGTTCCAAAGGAGTCTGAAGATATATGCCAGCTACATGCAATATGTATTCCTGTATAGTATTTTGGACCAGAAAAGAGACATTGTTGTGACAGTGGGCAAAATTTGAATGGGCTTAATGGATTGGATGGTAGTGTACCAAAACTGAGTCCCTGATATGGAAGTTTGTTTGCTTTTATATAGGACACTATTTAGAGGAAAATACACAACAGGGTGTTTAGGAGTGTTGGAACATCAAGTCTGTAGTTTGCTTTGTCCACCCTCAAAATGTCCAGAAAAGGACTAATAGTAAGGAATATATGCATATGCACATATACATGTAAACAAAGTGATCAATGAAGCAATAAGGTGTTAACTATATGAGAATATGGGTGAAAGAGATGTGGAAATTCTTTGCTCTGTTTTGGCAACTTTTCTGTACACTTAAAATTATTTCAAAAATTATTAAACTATACACACACACACATACTACTCCCATTGGAAATGTCTTAGGATACAAAACTACCACAGCCAAATTTTAAAAATAAATTTTATTTGTTATAAACATATTAAAATTATAAAATTTAAGAAAAAAATCTTTTAAATGTTGCAGTGTTATTAGTAATTAAAACAAATAGACCTATGGAACTACTGAGTAATTTCTCTCTGGATTTTTTCCCAGGTGAGAGCTCTGAGTGAATTAGTACTGAGAGAGCCATCCTACCTTGCCCACGAAATACTTTTTTACATAATAAGCAAGGGTTACGGCCAAGTCTTTGTTAGGGAACTGTTCTAGATCACTCATGATGCCAAGGCAAGAAAGGATAAATAACAGGTGTCACTTCCTTAAACATAATTAACCCTTTATCATTAGACTGTGGAATGCCTGATGGTAAAACCTTGTGTTATATAGTTCTTTTATTCTCCTGGAATGCATAGCAGTGACCACTCTGAATTTCATGTAATCCTTACAAGGAAAGGCATTCAAATGTTTTTTGACAGATTTAAAACATCAACTTTGCAAGAAAACAAGGAAAAGGCCCTTTTTAGTGCCACAGAAAATACAACAGTACCGAGAATCAGAATTAAGTCATCTACATATACAAACCAATTTGGGGGACAAAAAAAGTTCTATCATCTAATAAAATTCAAACTTTAGTTTGGGTTTCAGAAACCTCCACTAGATGACTCACTATCCCAACAAACTCCTTTCACATTATTCCAAAAAAATTGTTTCTAATTAGCTAATCTGTTATTTCCAGTCAATTTATTTCTGACATTCATTAATACAATCAAATGTACTGCTCATCCTCAAATTGATTTAGAAAGTCAAAGTAATCACTGTCAACATCCCTGATGGATATTTTGCAGAAATGGACAAGCTGATTCTAATATTCATATGAAGGGGTGCCTGGGTGGCTCAGTTGGTTGAGCGTCCGACTTCAGCTCAGGTCATGATCTCACAATTTGTGGGTTCGAGCCCTGCGTCGGGCTCTGTGCTGATAGCTCAGAGCCTGAAGCCTGCTTCAGATTCTGTATCTCCCTCTCTCTCTGCCCCTCCCCTGCTTACACTGTCTCTGTCTCTCAAAAACAAACAAACATTAAAAAAAATTAAAAAATAAAATAAAATTCGTATGGAAATGCAAGAGAGCCAGAATAGCAAACGCAATGTTGAAAAAGAACATAGTTGGAAGACTCACACTTCCCAATTTATAACTTATTACAAAACTACATTTATCAAGTATTAAGTGTAGCTTAATCAAGGCATAAGGATAAACATATAGACAAATGGAATACAGTTGAGAGTTCGGAAATAAAGTAAGAGTGCCATGACAATTCAGTGGGAAAAGAATAGTCTTTCCAACAAATGATGGTGGGACAACCATATATCAAAATGCGAAACAAATAAGTTGAACACCTTCACACCATTTATAAAAATGAACTAAGACCTAAATGTAAAAGCTAAAAACATTAGAATATTAGAAGAGAACATAGGGGTAAATCATGTTAACCTTGCATTAGACGATTGTTTCTTAGACATGACACTGAAAGTACAAGCAACCAAAGAATAGAAAAACTGGAATCAGAATTTTAAAGTTTTGTGCTTTAAAATCAGGGGCGCCTGGGTGGCGCAGTCGGTTAAGCGTCCGACTTCAGCCAGGTCACGATCTCGCGCGGTCCGTGAGTTCGAGCCCCCCGTCGGGCTCTGGGCTGATGGCTCAGAGCCTGGAGCCTGTTTCCGATTCTGTGTCTCCCTCTCTCTCTGCCCCTCCCCCGTTCATGCTCTGTCTCTCTCTGTCCCAAAAATAAATAAACGTTGAAAAAAAAAATTTAAAAAAAAATCAAAGAACACCAGCAGAAAAGTAAAAAAGGGGCACCTGGCTGGTTCAGTCCATACAGCATGCAACTCTTGATGTGGGGTCATGAATTTGAACCCCATGTTGGGTATAGAGATTACTTAAAAAAAAAAAAAAAAAAAAAAAAACTTAAAAAAAAAAGGAAAAAGGCAGTCCACAGGAGAAAATCTTTGTAAATATATATTGTGTGGGTATATAATTTTTTGTGTATTATATTTTCTATCTTAAAAAACTTTTCTGACTGGGGAGTGACTGCCTTCTCCCTGGTTAGCCCATTCAGAGACAGCAAAGGCCCCCAACTAGGAGCATGCCTTTGACATGCAAACTAACCAATCCAGAGCCTTACCTCTTACGTTTGGCCCTGCACCCGAGGAGGCAATATTCCTCTACTTTAATTATCCTAGAGCCAGGTAAGAGGACACTAGAGACCACCCATATAGCTCAAAAATTACCAAAATTATTCAAACTAGCCAATACTGAATTATTTATCCTATCCAACTTTGCTTCTCCCTTAGAAACCCCAATAAAGGTCATGGCCTAAGCATTCCCCCCTGGCCCTCCTCCTGACCACCCTGGTATCTTTCCCATATGGCCCTGTGTGTGCAGTGCCTCTGGTCTCTAGAAAGTTTGAATATAATAATGTTCTTGAGCCTCTCTTGTGTCTCCTCTTATGGCTGAACCTAAACTGACTTCATAAAAGCACATAGAAGCATACAAAATAAAATAATATCTGATAAGGGTCTACTACACAGAATATATAAATAACCCTTACAACAATAAAGAGACAAATAACCCAATTTTAAAATGGAAAAAGTATTAGAAAACATTTTTCCAAAGAAGATATGCAAATGGCCAATTAGCACAAGAAAGGGAAATACAAATCAAAGCCACAATGAGAGGTCATTTCACATCCACTTGGCTATAATCAAAGAGACAGATAATGATAGTGGTGAGGATAAAGAGAAATTTAGTAAAAAAAAAAAAAAAAAAAAAATTTTGGAAACTGGGATCACTGCTGGTAGGATTGTAAAATGGTGCAGCTGTTGGAAAACAGTCTGGCAGATCCTCAGAAAGCTAAATATAAAGATAGTATATCATTCAGCAATTCCACTCCTAGTTCCATGGCCAAGAGAACCGAAAACATGTGTCCACATAAAAACTTGTACATAAATGTTCACAGCAACATTATTCATAATAGTTAAAAGGTAAAAACAACCCAAATGTCCATCTGTTGATGAATGGACAAAAAAAAATGTGTGTCCTTGTTACAGTGGATTATTTAGCCTTAAAACAGAATGAAGACTGATTCATACCACAACACAGATGGACCTGAAAAAACAGTATGCTAATTGAAAGAAGCCAGACACAAAGGGTCACATATTTAATGATTCCATTCATATGAAAAGTCCAAAATTGGCAAGTCCATAGAAAGACAAAGTAGATTAGTGATTGCCACGAGCTGGACAGGAGGAGGGGGAATGAGGAGTGACTACTGATAGGTACAAAGTTTCTTTTTGGGTGATAAGAATGTTCAAAATTGATTATAGTGATGATTGCACAGATTTGTGAATATGCTAAAAACCACCGAGTTGTACACTTTAAAAAGGTGAATGGTATATGAATTATATCTAATTTTCAAAAGGTTTAAAAAATATATTTTATTGATCATATCTTTTCTTTCCTTAATACCTTACCCCCATTTCTCATCTTTACCAAATCTCATCACTGTTACTTTTTTA